ATAAATGACACTTTCATTGTATGTGACGAAAACTCTTCAACTGCCGAACTTCTTGGAATATTTAATGGTTCTCACCCATCTTTGCTTTTCATGGTCGAAGAAGAGTCGAATTCCTAATTTCACTCCCTCGATGTTAAGCTAGATAGAGGAGAGAATGGCACGCTGTTAAGGTCGATTAACCGAAAGAAAACGTTCACTGGGCAGTACACTAAATTTAACACTTGAGTACCGTTAGGGAGAAAGAGAAATCTTATTCATTCCTTATGCTCTAGAATTCGTAAAATCTGCTCTGCAGAGACAATCGATAGTGAACTAAATAACCTTCGATCAAATCTCCTTAACAATGGTTATCCTACAAGGTTTATCGAACGTAACATCAAGAAAGAGCCCACCGCTAGACAAATTACAGTGCCAAAGAAAAAACTGTTTATGAGTCTGGCATTCAAAGGTGACACCATTTCGGAATTGATTAAAAATCGTTTATCTAAATGTATTAAACGTACTTTTCCTGCAGCTGACTTGCAACTAGTTTTTACCAGCCGAAATATGATTAGACAATGCGTCAAGGATGGATTACCGCTTTTGTCCACATCCATGTGTATTTACTCTTTTACCTGCTCTTGTCGAGCTGTTTATATTGGACGTTGTAAGCGTAATCTCCGAAAACGTGTAGCTGAACACTATCCAGTCTGGTTAGTGAAAGGCGAACGTAGAACTCCGAAGTCGTCTATCTGTGATCACCTGTTAGAGTCAGGTCATTTAGCCCCACGTGATTCATCTTTCAAAGTCATCTACATGGCAAAATCGAATCGATTCAAGGGTTTACGTTTTCTTCACTTATGCATAGCCGAAGCCTTAGCTATACATGAACAGAAACCTAAATTATATGTTCAAAAACGTTTAGTCAAACCCTTTTCTTTACCTTGGTCATAGTAATGTTCTTTCTAGTTTCCATTTTATTTTACCACTTGAATTCTTTCCACTTCACTTCACATCTTCATTCTTATCGCAATCGCACTCCTAAATTTTTAAAATGTTCAGACAACACTTGACATTTGAAAAACATTTCTGATTTCAATTCACTTATAAAACAATCTATAATAATTTTGTAATTTATCCACCTCAGCACTACAGCTTTAAACATTTTAATTATCGTAATTCTTATCACATACGATTTTATTGCCAGATCAATTATTTAGTGCCACTTAATAAAACTTTCAGAAAGATAATCACGACGGTAAAGCATGAATATGAAGTTGTTGAAAACAAATTTAGTCACTGAACTAAAAGTGTGTTTTTATTTACAAATAAATAGGTATTTTTTGTGTATTATAAAACTTCACAGTAGAAGTTAGAATAAATATAATTATCAGCATGATGAAGATTTGACACTGCAAGAAATGCCGAACATGGGTCCGACTTATTTATTTTCAACAAAGTTATTGTGGATAACAACCGATAGACTGCTGGTGCGAGTATGAGTAAACAAGTATCACCACGCAATGACAAATATACAGCTGGTAAAATGAAAATACACAGGATGAACTTTTGTGTACATTTTTCAGCATATTCATATATAATTTTATCATATTCAACATAAGTTAATATATATGAGTTCATCCCAAAGGATGTAGTATCAAAGTCAGTGCTTTCGAAATGTGTTGACCAAATACATATTATAAAATTACGGAGAGTCAGGATACACCCAAGAGAAAATGTTTCAAGCGACGTGACATAAACAAATTGATGAATACTGACATGAATAAATGGAAAGAATAAATCAAATTAACTAGGCAGATGCAACATAAACAGGCATCAGTGTTGCGCTGCACAGTCAGCATACTGTCAGACGTGCTTGTAATCACTCCTAGGTTGTCGTGTCCTTCTCAAACCCAGACGTCACCTCCTGCAGTCGAGAATTAAGGCTTCTGTCTTCTTTCCTCTTCAATCTCTCGTCCATCTTGTCAGTAGACAACCACGCACATCAATCACAGATAGAAGCAATCATCACAAAGACTCTGAGGATGGTACTGGTTTCTGAACAGAGTGTTTCAATTCAATTCACCATTCGTAAATGAAATTCAATACGTGTAAAGAACCGATCTGCATAGGCACAACAAATTATGAAAACGTTTTGCAATGACACAAACTAGTATTGTGAAGAAGTGATACTCGGTGTATGGTTGTGTGTTCACAGAGAAAGAATGAACGGGCAAGTGAATTGTTATGTTTCCAATGTATTTATATAAATACTCAGTTGTTTAATTCAAATCACTTACAAATATCTTCATCATATTTTGATTAAAAAACAGGGACACACTATAGTGAGTTTCCTCGATGATAATATTTTCTTGATTTTTAAATTCATTGTTCTCTGTTCAGCGACTAAATATGTTTTCAACGACTTCATATTCATGCCTTACCGTCATGTTTATATTTCTGAAAGTTTTATTAAGTGGCACTAAATAATTGCTCTGGCAATATAATCATATGTGATAAGAATTACGATAATTAAAATGTTTAAAGCTGTAGTGCTGAAGTGGATAAATTACAAAATTATTATAGATTGTTTTATAAGTGAATTGAAATCAGAAATGTTTTTCAAATGTCAAGTGTTGTCTGAACATTTTAAAAATTTAGGAGTGCGATTGCGATAAGAATGAAGATGTGAAGTGAAGTGGAAAGAATTCAAGTGGTAAAATAAAATGGAAACTAGAAAGAACATTACTATGACCAAGGTAAAGAAAAGGGTTTGACTAAACGTTTTTGAACATATAATTTAGGTTTCTGTTCATGTATAGCTAAGGCTTCGGCTATGCATAAGTGAAGAAAACGTAAACCCTTGGATCGATTCGATTTTGCCATGTAGATGACTTTGAAAGATGAATCACGTGGGGCTAAATGACCTGACTCTAACAGGTGATCACAGATAGACGACTTCGGAGTTCTACGTTCGCCTTTCACTAACCAGACTGGATAGTGTTCAGCTACACGTTTTCGGAGATTACGCTTACAACGTCCAATATAAACAGCTCGACAAGAGCAGGTAAAAGAGTAAATACACATGGATGTGGACAAAAGCGGTAATCCATCCTTGACGCATTGTCTAATCATATTTCGGCTGGTAAAAACTAGTTGCAAGTCAGCTGCAGGAAAAGTACGTTTAATACATTTAGATAAACGATTTTTAATCAATTCCGAAATGGTGTCACCTTTGAATGCCAGACTCATAAACAGTTTTTTCTTTGGCACTGTAATTTGTCTAGCGGTGGGCTCTTTCTTGATGTTACGTTCGATAAACCTTGTAGGATAACCATTGTTAAGGAGATTTGATCGAAGGTTATTTAGTTCACTATCGATTGTCTCTGCAGAGCAGATTTTACGAATTCTAGAGCATAAGGAATGAATAAGATTTCTCTTTCTCCCTAACGGTTCTCAAGTGTTAAATTTAGTGTACTGCCCAGTGAACGTTTTCTTTCGGTTAATCGACCTTAACAGCGTGCCATTCTCTCCTCTATCTAGCTTAACATCGAGGGAGTGAAATTAGGAATTCGACTCTTCTTCGACCATGAAAAGCAAAGATGGGTGAGAACCATTAAATATTCCAAGAAGTTCGGCAGTTGAAGAGTTTTCGTCACATACAATGAAAGTGTCATTTATATATCTTTTATACATAAACAAACTATCGATGGTTTCCTTTAGTGGGCTATTCTCTTAGCTAGCCATGGAGACGTCCGCTAAGAGCGGTCCTAAAGGAGACCCCATTGCGACTCCATCCCTTTGATTGTAGATGACATCATTAAATCTAAATTGCACATTCAGTGTGCATCTCGAAAATAGTTGTTTAAGATATTCAGTTGGTAAGCCAATGTTCATGCTATTTGAATCAATATACTCGCATAGACAGTAGATAGTGTCTACTAGTGGTACATTTGTGAACAATGAACAAACATCTAGCGAAAGCATATGTTTACGAGACACATTAATTTCATCAACACAACTGACATAGTCAAAAGTGTCGGAAAGACTATGTTTACATAGATTTAATCTCACTGGTTCCAGAATTTCCGCAAGCCATTTAGCGGTAGGGTGATACGGTGAATTCAGCATATCCAATACAGGTCGCAGAGGAAAATCATCTTTGTGCACCTTTGGAAGACCATATAAACGAGGGATAGTGTAACCAGATGGTTTAAGCTGTTCAAACATATATGGAGTAATGATGCATTCTTGCTTCAATTTTGTCACAGTTTTTGATAATTCTTTCTCAATATTCTCTGTCTTGCCTTTTTGATCAGGTGATTTTTTGAAATTTTTCTTCATCACTCAGGATGGTACATAATTTATTGACATAGTCACCACGATTAGGGATAACAATACCTTATCCTTTGTCTGGACGAATCAGTATTATACTTTTGTTGTTGAGCAGTTCATTAGGCTGTCTTTTGTGTTCTTTTGATAACATTTGTCGTTGTCTGCCTTGCGTTCTTTGGTACTGGTAATAACAATGAAATAATGCAGATTTAAATTGTTCAACGTCTTCGCTAGACGTTGAACACAAGTCATGTGTTTGATTCATGAGATTTTCAAACTGAACTTTTGTGTCTCATTCGTTAACTCTGTACGAAAAAGTAGAGAACTTCAGACCAAGAGATAGGATTTGCATTTGAATATCAGACAAAGATATGTCAGAATAGTTGAAAACGTATTTCTCTGGCGTATCCCGAAAATTAAAGTGAGAAATCTTATTCATTCCTTATGCTCTAGAATTCGTAAAATCTGCTCTGCAGAGACAATCGATAGTGAACTAAATAACCTTCGATCAAATCTCCTTAACAATGGTTATCCTACAAGGTTTATCGAACGTAACATCAAGAAAGAGCCCACCGCTAGACAAATTACAGTGCCAAAGAAAAAACTGTTTATGAGTCTGGCATTCAAAGGTGACACCATTTCGGAATTGATTAAAAATCGTTTATCTAAATGTATTAAACGTACTTTTCCTGCAGCTGACTTGCAACTAGTTTTTACCAGCCGAAATATGATTAGACAATGCGTCAAGGATGGATTACCGCTTTTGTCCACATCCATGTGTATTTACTCTTTTACCTGCTCTTGTCGAGCTGTTTATATTGGACGTTGTAAGCGTAATCTCCGAAAACGTGTAGCTGAACACTATCCAGTCTGGTTAGTGAAAGGCGAACGTAGAACTCCGAAGTCGTCTATCTGTGATCACCTGTTAGAGTCAGGTCATTTAGCCCCACGTGATTCATCTTTCAAAGTCATCTACATGGCAAAATCGAATCGATCCAAGGGTTTACGTTTTCTTCACTTATGCATAGCCGAAGCCTTAGCTATACATGAACAGAAACCTAAATTATATGTTCAAAAACGTTTAGTCAAACCCTTTTCTTTACCTTGGTCATAGTAATGTTCTTTCTAGTTTCCATTTTATTTTACCACTTGAATTCTTTCCACTTCACTTCACATCTTCATTCTTATCGCAATCGCACTCCTAAATTTTTAAAATGTTCAGACAACACTTGACATTTGAAAAACATTTCTGATTTCAATTCACTTATAAAACAATCTATAATAATTTTGTAATTTATCCACCTCAGCACTACAGCTTTAAACATTTTAATTATCGTAATTCTTATCACATACGATTTTATTGCCAGATCAATTATTTAGTGCCACTTAATAAAACTTTCAGAAATATAAACACGAATGTAATGTATAAATATGAAGTCGTTGGAAACAAATTTAGTCACTGAACTAAAAGTGTGTTTTTATTTACAAATAAATAGGTATTTTTTGTGTATTATAAAACTTCACAGTAGAAGTTAGAATAAATATAATTATCAGCATGATGAAGATTTGACACTGCAAGAAATGCCGAACATGGGTCCGACTTATTTATTTTCAACAAAGTTATTGTGGATAACAACCGATAGACTGCTGGTGCGAGTATGAGTAAACAAGTATCACCACGCAATGACAAATATACAGCTGGTAAAATGAAAATACACAGGATGAACTTTTGTGTACATTTTTCAGCATATTCATATATAATTTTATCATATTCAACATAAGTTAATATATATGAGTTCATCCCAAAGGATGTAGTATCAAAGTCAGTGCTTTCGAAATGTGTTGACCAAATACATATTATAAAATTACGGAGAGTCAGGATACACCCAAGAGAAAATGTTTCAAGCGACGTGACATAAACAAATTGATGAATACTGACATGAATAAATGGAAAGAATAAATCAAATTAACTAGGCAGATGCAACATAAACAGGCATCAGTGTTGCGCTGCACAGTCAGCATACTGTCAGACGTGCTTGTAATCACTCCTAGGTTGTCGTGTCCTTCTCAAACCCAGACGTCACCTCCTGCAGTCGAGAATTAAGGCTTCTGTCTTCTTTCCTCTTCAATCTCTCGTCCATCTTGTCAGTAGACAACCACGCACATCAATCACAGATAGAAGCAATCATCACAAAGACTCTGAGGATGGTACTGGTTTCTGAACAGAGTGTTTCAATTCAATTCACCATTCGTAAATGAAATTCAATACGTGTACAGAACCGATCTGCATAGGCACGACAATTTATGAAAACGTTTTGCAATGACACAAACTAGTATTGTGAAGAAGTGATACTCGGTGTATGGTTGTGTGTTCACAGAGAAAGAATGAACGGGCAAGTGATTTGTTATGTTTCCACTGTATTTACATAAATACTCAGTTGTTTAATTCAAATCACTTACAAATCTATTTATTTCTATTTTAAGTTATTCCCCGGGGGTATAATTTTTAGTAAGTGCTATTTTTTTAATATAAATTTTCACTGTAGGATTTCGAAAAAATTTATATATATCAGCAGGATGATTTTTGGACACTGCAGGGAATGCCTGATGATATCTTATCATAAATCGAAATGTTTCATTTTTCGCGTTTTGTTTTGGTTTTTCTTTTTTGAATATAGAATGTACTTTTTGGTCGTTTTTTTGATTAGATATTTGATTTCTCGTTAAATTTTCTCCTTATTCTTTTGCATGTTTCTGTTTCTCATTTTCAAACTGATATTGATTTTTGTTTATCGGTCAATCTATGTTTTCATACACCGTTGACTGAGTTTTACTGAACCTGATTATTGAAACTCTTGCATCGGTATCAATTTTATTAACCTCTCGTGTGTAGTCCTCTTCCTAGCTTGTTTATTTTTCTTCGATTTATATCATACATATATATATGTGAACTAATCAACATACATCTCTTGTTTCATTTGTAGATGGCGCTTAGCCGTTGCTTCGTATAATCTTCGCGTTGTGACTACTGATTCACTCAGTTGCTTGCATGATGTCGAATGAGAAATGTACGCTTTACTTCCATTGCACAACAAATTTCTGTGTAAACGTTTCTAATTTCACTTAAACCGTGTAGTTGTAGTTTCTGTAATCTCAAACATTTGGTGTAATTTTTTTAAAAGTTAACTGATAAACAACAATATTTCACAATACATCTTTATTATTTCATCTTCCTGCATTTGGCTTTCTATAACTGATTTGGATCTGCTGATAGACATCTTAACTGTATCGATATTCTCAGCGAATATTGTCCAAAGTTTATTTTAATAGTCTCTGCGTTATGTGATTGTATATGTAAAACACTTTTAATATGAGACTTAGGGCGCATTCTAAATGGTATTTCTTGTGTTAACTTGATGATTATGATGTAAACTGTCGACTAGACAAAGTAATTTTCAGGCTGAACAGGCGAAATCTGCCTGCACTTAACAATTGTTGAGGGCGCTTTCAGTTTCCAGCTATCACTTTGCGTAAGCAGATAAGCATTTAAACCTACAAACTCACTCAGGGACAAGCTCTGTAGGCTAAAGGACCCAGCTGACCCAATTAGACAAAATAATATAATTTACAAAATACCCTGAAATGACTGTGAGTCTGGTCAACTACATAGGTGAAACTAGTAGGTCAGGGGTAGTCAGATTGTCAGAACATAAGAATTTAGCTAAGGTAAGAATGGATGACCAAGAGAAGATAAGTAATTTAGAAAAAAGCTCAGCAACTGCACTGCATGCATTAGCACACAACCACACAATAGCATGGTGGGAGAGGGTTAAAATTCTAAAAAGTAATCTAGGTAGGTGGAGGGCGAGAGTGGTTGATTACTGAATCCTTGTTCATCGAATCTACACCGAACACATGCAATAGGAATGAATCATCACTCATACCTGAAATATGGAAAATAATACTACCAATCAAATCAAGTGAAAATCAAGTGAAAAACAATGGAACTATATGAATGAATTTAGGAAGTCGTGTGATTACCTTGATATGATTATGAGCAGTGATAAATTGTGCTCGAAACGTCATCAGTAAATATTACTGTATAACACTGTGAGACTCTATCAAAATAAAATTTACCCATAATGGAATGCTTCGGTCAGCGTTAACGGGAAATTATCAGTCGGAAAGAGATTAGCTTGTTACTTGAAGCTATCTGCTTAGTATCAAAATTCAAAAGCAAACACAATAAGGACACTAAAGATTTTCAATTGGAGCGTCGTAAACCTCCACGATCATATCACTAATGAAGCCAGAACTGTTCACATCTTGTTGCATAAAGAAAACTGTTTGAAATGCGGTTGAGTAAAACAATGCTATGTAGGTAGAAAATATTAATTGACATTCTTTATTCGCGGACTCATCCTTCAGCATTTTTAAAAGACATGATGCAGTGAAATGAACAAATTTTAATGACACAGAAAATCAACTATGCTCAGTTACTTGGATTTCTGTCAACTACTATTCACACGAGAATTTTTTTACTACACGGCACCTTCTACTGTCGTCAAGAAACTGGTTTAGATGGATGAAACGAGGTTTCCGCCTCAAACTTTGTTTGTTATCCATACCGTCTTATTATTCTCACATCTTCCAATTGTTCATTATTATTAATGATAGTATTGTGACCAAATGCACAATTCAAGCTGTCGCTCACTAAATCTGTTTCCATTCAACTGGATTTCAAAACACCTGCCATACCATAGCTCACATACTGATTATAGCCCAGCGCATTCATTACAATCATTAAGAACCATGTTGTCAAAATACAACAATCTCAAATTATGCTTTCATATGATTTTATTTCATGTGACTCTTCCTTAAATTCACAGGAAGAATGAAGGGAATGACTTTCATGTAACAGAGATGAGAAGTCAAACCATGAAAATGCACAGTATAACAACCTTTTCCCCTCCATTCACTTTTCCACCTGGCTTCATGTATTTGTACACACATATTAATCTGTGTTGAGTTTTATGCTACTTGTATCAATGGAATCAATAATTAATCTTATCCAAAACTTCTGCGTAGTGCTCACAGTTTGCTGAGGTGTATGGCAATTCACTTTGTCGGTACAATGTACTCTGTTTGTGGAAATTGTCTCATCCACTTTTACGAGTTGATCACGGACTGATATCAGTTAGAGAACCATTGAAAACCAGGGAGCACTTGACAGCTGCTGTTTCATCCCAGTTTGGGAATCATCGGCAGTACGCACCCACTGGGATTCGAACCCAGGAACTACCGGTTACAAGGCAAGCTAGCTCGTATACCATTCAGCCACTGGGACCCAATTCAATGGCTCATGAATTCTAACTTCTACCAATTCGTGATTTTAGCGCGACCCCAACTATTGTCGTTGGTGGGACATCCATCCACACACGTGACTTCTAATTGGACCTCACTGGTCACGACTTCTCACTAGAACTCCAGGAAGCTCCAACCTGTAGCAAGTCACTAGCGAGCATCAGAATAATTTTCTATAGTTTTGGTTTGTAAGGATTGTGGCAGCTGATTACTAATTTGCTGCACAAATATACAATAATATTGAAGAGTGTTAATTTTTTTCCTCATTCACTTTTTTTTATAAGTAGTCGTCTAGTGGACCGGTCGTTAATGATTTTATGAGCACAAGGTAATAATTTACTGAATTTTTGAGTTCTGCTTGGCTTTTGTTGTTCTCTGACTAGTGTCAGTTCATGATATTCTCTGCATTCATTGCCAATAAAGCGAATCCATAATTGTATCGGAAACATTTATTTCCTGATACAAATTTGAAATTAAGATAAAATGCATAACGGTTTAATTGCGTCACTTAGATAAACAAGTTATCATTAGAGAAAGAACTTTAATATATCAAGATTTGCGAACTGAGTAGTATTCATTATAATAGGAATAATTATATTAATAGTGTTGAAACGAGTTACGATAATGTTACTGATAAAAGTTGGTTTCAAAATGAATCAGGAATGATAATACAAGTTATAACAAAGTGTTAATAATAATAATATTAGCAGTATTAATATCAGTTAATAAGCAGAACGTATTAACATGGTAGATTAAGAGTGACGATCATTTCCTATTGTACACA